CCCCAGATTCTTTCACAGAACTCGTTCTGGGTTATGTTTTTGCATTGCTTTCCTGCTTAAGACCAGGCTGTAAAACTGTAAAACCAGGGAACCCTTGAGAGAACTATGCTAAATACCCCTTCATAGTCTATCCTTGTGGTCGCCAGCACCATACCTCTTCTTAGTCAGAAGTTTGTTTATGCCTATTTATGGGGTTTTTGAGAATGGTACTAATGCTGTCAGTGGATGTAGAAACTCAGACTGACTGTAAATATCTTGGAAGTTTGAGCTTCTGCTTAAAGTAAGTACTGTACTTTGGTACCTTTCAACTGTGACAAAGTTAGGGTTACTTATTCACATGAAATGGTCTGAAGCAGCTATTGCATGAGTGCTGTATCTGCAGTGCTTTGCCATCCTTGGTTGAGCAACTTCCTGTTGGAACCACTGATCTGTGCAACATTACTGTATGCGACAGAAGCGGTCAGGCTATGTGCCATGTTGTATGCATTCAAACCTACTTCTAAGTACTGATTTTGAGAAAACTGTGTTTGGACAACTCAGGTGTGTCAGGGGGTCACTTTTAATTATTCAGTTTCCCTATCATCCTGTTGATAAACTTTGCTTTTATAACACAGTTTTACAGATTCTACTTTTGGGGATGATTTTTGGTTTAGGGATCAGCTGAGGAAGGAGGGGATGTCTGTCCCCTAGTTGCATCTATTGTGGGCCTGTCATGGTGGAAGAATTGGGATCGCTTGCAACATACTTTGCACTTAAAGCTTCTGACAATTTCCTAGAGGGATCCTAAACTACTATTGCCAGTAGCTGTAGTTAGTGGCTGTTAGTGCTGTTGGGACTGGTAGCTTCATCTCAGTGCTAGTTGCATTTTCTTGGAAGTTTCTGGTGAATATAAAACAAGTTTTTTGTGAAAGGCAGCAATATGGAACAGGTTCAAAACCATATCTATCTGCTTCTGTTGGCCACCTTTTCTTTATTTGCTCTTTACGGATTGTGACCTTGTATGTCATGAAAGGAACCGAGACTACTTTGGTGGGGAGGGGGAGGTGGGGAGGAATCGTGGAAAGCTGTGTGTATTCAGGGTATAGAAAAGGGAAGAAAATATAAATAGTGAGCACATGGAAAAATGTTGTTTAGCAGCAGAGAGCCTGTATGACTTTCATGGGTAGAAGCCATGCCTTGTAAATTGTTAGATCTTTCCTGAAATTGTTGGGGGGGAAGCATGTGGCATTTGTGTAGCATTTAGGAAGTATGTATTTGATATACTTTTATTAAAGCAAAAAAAAAAAAAAACTGTTGAGAAGGTTTCCAAAACTTTCTTTTTAACTTGGAAAACAAAGGCCTAAGAATAATTGGTCAGTTTTAATAATAGGAGGAGACTAACGTGTTAGAAGAAGATTTTTTTTTTAAGGGATCTGTGCTTGGGATATGGTAGTCAGCGTTTTCATGAATGTTACCTTGCTGGTGTATCTCGGATCAGAATTTGCTCATGAAACAAAATTACTTGGGGTAGTTTAAAGCTTAACTGGAAAGCATTGCTAAAGGGAATCTCTTATTTTGACAAAGGCAAGACATAATGTGAGAAATTGCTAGTAAAGACTTTTAAAGCAAAAGAGCAAATATGCTAATGATATCTTCAGATTGTGAATAATGGTGTAGTTTTTATTTCATCCTTCTCAAAATGTGTAATAGAACAGTAATGGGAATGTAATAAACAGTGATGGTCAAAAATATGGAACAGCACCTATACCTTTAAAAGCAGAATGTTTTATGATAGTAATTATGTGCAAGAGGTGGGGGAGAAAAGGGGTATGATAAAGTTTCAAAAATTGTAAGTATTATGTAGAGCTGAATAGGAAATGATTATTTTCTTACTTTAAGCTAATGTAATCAGATTCTCCCCCCTGCCCCTTGCATTTTGCTTAGAAGAATATGTAAAGATTGTAAAAATTAATGCTGCATACTGGGCTGTATTAGCAAAAGTGTATCTATGTGGTCAATAGAAGTGATTCTTCACCTGACCATGTCTGGATTACTATGTCCAGTTTGGGACTCGTCCTAGATACTCACATACTGGAGAGGATCTGGTGGAGGGTCTCTAAGATGGTTAGAAGGCTGAAGCAAATGCTCTATATGGAGAGGCTGAGAGATAGGGTTTCTTCAGTTTTAGGATAAGAACGGCATGGTTATTGCTGTTTTCAGTGACCTGATAGGGAGGTTTAGCAAAGGAGGAGCCAGAATCATCTCAACCCTACAGCTGCCAAGGGTGAGAGGCAACAGACAGAAGTTGCAACACTGGAAATTCTGACGAGTTGTTGGGAAATTTTCCCCCTCCCCCACAATGAGGTTAATGAGACATTGGGAAAATTGTTCAGAAAGGTAGCAGAAACTCCAGCCTTTGAAAACACCTATTAACAACTCAACTGGACAAGACCACAAGCAGTCTGGAGCAGGAGAACAGGAGATTTGACCACCCGATCTTCTGAGGTCTTTTCAAACATTGGCTGTTCTGTAATGCTGTGACTTTGTGGAAGAAAAAACCATAAAGGTCCTAAAACGCAGTGAATGGGTTCACAAGGCAAAAAAAGGTACATCAGTAGCTATTTAATGTTTATCCGGCAATGACATCTATCTATCTCCATACTTTCTGCTTATATGTGGAAAGAGCACACTCTGCAATTTTTTTTGTTCTGGTCCAGTTTGATACTTGGCTCTGTATCTGCCAAGATGCAGAGCAGAACGGCTGATGAAAATGACCCCTGCTGGCCACATACTCCCACTGCTGCTTCTGGCTTCTCTGGAAAGTTTAAAAAGAAAAAAACCAAAACCCCAAAAAGCGTTAGTTTAGACCATGCATGTGATAGACACCAGGCTGGGGCAAGTGTGGGAGTACCTTAAATCTTCTGTAGGACTTCACTGCTGTGTTCTTTTTAAGGATCTAGTGTTAGCGGTGGATGCTGGGCTAGATAGATCTCTGGTCTGACCCAGCATGTGTTCCTTCCCCACACCCCCCGCCCCCGGGAAACAAAAATAATGAATGGCTGTTTAATGTAGCTTAAAAATGACTGTGTTAATCATGTGAGAGTTAATTTTCTGACAAGTCAGTGAATAGGAGAATTTTCCATCCCTTCCTTTTGTTGCCAGTGTCCACAAGAAGTTATACTGTCAAATAATATTAGCTGTTTCCTGACTGTACTTTTGTTATGGTTAAGGTGATGAACCACAATAAATAGCAAGTTTGTGTAAGATTTTCTTTTCAACCTGTCTAAATATATCTGAAACAAAACCCCAAAGAGCTAGGACTTTTTTGTTCTGTTAATGTGCAACAAATACAAACTTTCTCTCTCTTTTTTTTTTTTTTTTTCTTTATTCTTGCAGTATAAGCAGCACTATTATGGACGTAGACAGCACAATTTCCAGTGGGCGTTCAACTCCTGTTATGATGAATGGACAAGGAGTTCCTGCCTCCTCTGCAAAAAGCATTGCTTATAACTGTTGTTGGGACCATTGCCATGCTTGCTTCAGCTCCAGCCCAGATTTGGCAGATCACATTCGCTCCATACATGTGGATGGTCAACGAGGAGGGGTTGGTGTTATTTTTTGTTTTGTCCCTCTTTCTTAGTTGCCAATGTTTTACTCTTTAATGACAGTAGCAAATTTTATGTTTTAAAGTATCAGTTCTGTAGCTAGCGGCAACTAAGGTTGGGCCTTCAGCAGTCTGGTATTACGCATTGAGCTGTGTCTTTTGCATAGTTCACTTGATTTGGTATTCTGTGTTTTCAGTTGAATTCCTAACTTTAACAATGTAGTAAGTTCTTTTTAAAATGAGTTTTGATAGATATGCTAACTTCTCAACATTCTGAAGCTGTTGGTATATCTTTAAGTGCTTATACTTGGAATTCATTTTCTTAAAACTATTAGCGTACATGTTACTGTGTGTGAACTCGGGTGAAGTTGTATCTTGATTATTTTTATGAATGGAGCCTCACTAGAGGTAAAACGTACAGAATGTGTAACAGGGAAGATAAGATGTAAGACTCATTGACTTGAGAGTACGATGTCTTACTGGAACAGCTGTCTGTAGCACTGATGGCAAGTATACCTTCAATATAACTGCATCTAGTAATTTTTTTTTTTTTTTTAAATTGAGGTACATGCATAATCATGCATATTTCAGTCTAATCCCTGGTCAAATTATGCAATTTCTGTTGGTCTCACAATTTTAATGTTTCAAAACATCTTGCAGTAGTGTAATTTCAACTCTGTACTTAACTACCTGCCCCTCCCCAACCTTCCAAATTCAGTTTGATGCATGGAACATGCCATGTAAACTATTTTTACATCACACACAAGCAATCTGCCTGCCTTTGGCATTGTATGTTGCAGCTCTTTAATTTCTCGTAGACCTAATATCAAATCTTAAACTAGAATAGTCATTGTCTTTTGACTTTTTGTCCTGTCACTGCTCCAGAAGTAAAATGTTAGGCCACTACACTTGATCTTGAGCGAACAAGAGACTTAAATAAAATGCTAATTTGCATTACCTTAAAACAATTTATTACATAATTGTATCATTGAGACAGCTGTGACTCTGGTTGTATTTAGCTAATGGTTTTTGTAATGATTGAACTTTCAACTCCGTATTTGGTATCTTTTTTCATTCCAAGCTTTAAGCAGAATCATCCGTCCAGTGAGCTGGCTTTTTAGCCACCCATGAGATGATTTCTGTAGTTCACTTCATAGATTTATAAAAGTGTTATATGAATCCTGGATGAAACAATGAAATGGATGAGGTGTGTTGGTATCCTGTGGACTTTCACATAACTGCATCTCTGGGGATCTTTGTTGTCCAATCCATGACCCCTTTTCATTTCTTAAAAAGGGACTGGAAGATTTTTCAGGGTTTTTTTTGCATTGTATTTCTGTTCGCTTACATTCCATGTGACATGATTTGTGGATATTTTTATTTAGAAAATGTTAGACTGTATTTGTCTTTCTGAAAGAGGAACTTGTTGGAAGCACTAGGTGTCTAATAACTGTTGCGTTCAGTTCACACTTTTTATCCCCCTACTGGAGTTGGTTTATTTTTTGAAAAGTTCTGCAACTTGATGCTATGGAAGGGGACTGATCCTGGCTCGTTTGTTTCAAGGATTTGTCCGCCACCTGCTGGCGAGGTGTTTAAGTGGTGTTAGAAATTATATTCTTGTGGCTTTGATTGGATTTCAAATATTACTCAACTACAATGACTATAAATTTGAAGAAAAGTGGGAGTAGTAACTGCTTATTGAGAACTTAAAAGCAATGTGATAAGCATCCTTGTGTGGTTAAAATGTGTATTTTCAAGCTAATACTGAGATAATGGCTCCAAATCAGATAGATCCATGAAGAGCCCAGGAAAGTTTTGACAAAATAGTTTTACTGCCCAAAATTTTTTTTTAGAAATATTTTGGATTCAGCCTTTTGACAAAGGCTCCCAAGAAGCCTTGCCTGGGCTTCTGGTGGGTTGTTGTAAAACCAAGTGCTTGGTTTTTTTGGAGGGATTACATTTCCACAATCGGTGACTTCACAGTAGTACTCCTTTGCTGAGTGCCCTGCAGTTTGCAGTTGCTGATGAAAATATGGGGACAGTTACGGAGCTGTTGCAGAGCCAGGAATCTTGGAAATTCCAATTCTGTGGCTTCAGGGGGGATCTCAAAACTGAGGAACAGCAGCCATCAAACATTTAGGGGGTTGGGCCTTACATGTCAGTAGATCTTGATCAGTCATACAGACATGCAGGGTTTTCCAGCTTTGTATTACTAAGCTGGGTTATCTATATACTATACAGAAAGTACATAGCACTCCTGTGGCTGCTCTTTTGTTTTGAAAATACAGTCTTTTGAAGATTGAGTTTTTTAATCTCCAAAAGAGAACAAGAAACTCAAATCCAATTAGTTTCCTGCAGTTCTGAAAACCTGTATTACGGACAATACTATTCCTGGGGACTGTATTTTGCTGCTACAAATCAGGGCTATACCTCCCTTCGCACACAGACCTGTTGAGGAAATTCTAATGAAAGGCAAGTTCATTGAGCTTTTTTGTTCTCTTGGTTATAGATAGACACAATGAGAGGAGAGAGAAAAGCAGCATGAGTAAGTTCTGCTCCCCTTAATGCACTATTGTGCATGTGACTGACTGGAATCACAAAACACCCGTAGATTTTGAATCCTGTGAGAAATTGTAACTGTCTTCATCAGGAACTGAGTATAAGGCTCTAACTAGAGGTATCTAGTATTCCATAATATAAAACTCTGGTATCTAAACAACTGTATTGTAATTACAAGTTTTTACTTTTTCATGCTCAAAAAGTAATAATAAAATTATTACTTGCTTATGAAACTAAATGATTTTATTTCTATATCTGCTATCCAGAAAATGTAAATTTGTCATTTTAAAACGTTCTGTCTTAATATCTGGTGGATACAGATATTGAGTGCAAACACAAACTCTTTACAGTGGATGCTGTGGCTCTCGATTGTGTTTATCTGCAGGAGCATCTGTTTTTTGATATTTTATTCCAGTGGTCTGCTTTTTTGAATACTTGTGGTTGTAATTATTTTTTCCTTGGTGAGATATGAGAAGTGTGTTGCAAATAAGTTGTTATTGTTCAAAATTCTTTGAAGTACTTTGTAATGTGAAAACAGGCTTCTTTGCTAAGCTGATTTATTTTTTTTACTGTTTTCTCTGACTTATGTAAACTTACCACATTTTTACTCTATTAGGTGTTTGTTTGCTTGTGGAAAGGTTGCAAAGTATATAATACACCTTCAACAAGTCAAAGTTGGTTGCAGAGGCATATGCTGACACACAGTGGGGATAAACCTTTCAAGGTAAGGTTCCCTGTATGATATATCATCCCTCATTTTAAGAGTGATCCTATTTATTTTTCCTGATAAATTATATTTAATTGAAAGATGCCATCACAGGAGGATGTCTTAGAAAGTATCCAGTGAGCTGAGCTTTCGTCGTTGCAATAATTGTGCCCAAAAGTCCTGTTCTGTTATGAAAACAGGTGAAGATACCATTATTGCTTCTCTGTCTCTGTTTCTTTTAACCTATAGATGGTAGGGGAGTCTAAAACTAAATAGTGCTGAAGTTCAATTTTTTTGTGCATTTTCCAGTTGAGCTGCTTACTCTGTAACAGTGAGATACTTTGCCTCACTCTTTACACTTCCATGTTAAACTTTGGATCATGCGTGATGCGGCACATTCTGTGCTTGAATAAGAGCTGGTTTTGTTAAGAAACTTCAGTTGAAACACAGTCAGTGACTATTTATGGTTAACCTCTCTGAGAATAATAAGGAAGTCAGGAATGCAGGACCATTGAGCTGACTGTATTTCCTGCATAGTATTTTCTAACTTTCTCTTTCTTTCTCCCCCTAATCTGTACCTGCAATTCTAGGTATAGTAGTGTTTATCATTCCCATATCCACCAATCCGTTATTAATGAGTTGCTTCATCCTCTTATGGATACAGTTGGGGCAGTTCATAGCTGTCAGTCCTGGATCACTTGATGGTAAGTCCCACCCACACTACTTCAGACTGAAGTTCTCCTTCCATGTAGGATATGAAAATGAATTAGGGGTTTTTTTATTAAGTTTAGGTAGCATTTTATGCCTTCCTCTCCCCAACCCCCAACCCCACCAAGTTTTAGTCACTGTTTCTCCACTTCCCTCTCCTCTCTTTCTTCTCAGGTAATATCTTCTGCATTTTTTTTTTTTCTAATTTTAAGGCAGTTTTATTACTAAAAAATACTTTTCTGTTACAGTGATGTCTTCCAGAAGTTACTTCTCCTGCACAGCTTATAACAGTAATTGTGACAGAAAACAAAACTGAAAACGTAGAGAGTAAAAATAGTGTGTTGCAGGTGAAAATGTTTTTTAATAAAGGTTAGACTTTTTCCATACTGAACTGTGTAGTTTAGCCTGAAAATTTCTGACTGAGAGAGTGAATAACAAAGGAAATTTGCCTTTGAGGTTATCATAGTCTTTGTTCAAAGCAATAAGGTTAGTATGCTCTTGGAAGCATAGCATAAGGATCATAGATCCCTGAAAGTTTGCAGAGGTGATCGTTCCAGCAGCTGATCTAATCTTCTTACTCTCTGAATAAAATAAATAAAAAAAACCCTAGTCATCCAAGGAAACTTGTACCTTGGGTCTTCTCATTTTGGAATTAAATTATTTTATATACATTAAAGTATAATGGCAAGCTTTGGTCTTGAAGGAAAGTCTTTCAGTAAGGTAATTTGTATGCTTATTTGGTCTAGATCAAAGAAATGCAATTTTAGAGATGTTGGGTTTAAAAGAGGTGGGCATAGCTCAGTTATAGCAGTAGTACTTTGGAGTCTGTCAAGGTTACCTAGCAAAGTCGGTAAAAGTTGGTATCCTAGGTTTTTGGCTAGGCTGGTTACCGCTAGAGCCCTAAAATTTAAAACAGTTCTGATAATAGTCATTTTGTGTCAAATATGTGTTGTTTCACCAGCTGATTTTCTGTACTTTCTGGTCATTCTAAGGGAAAGAACAAAGCACAGGCTAGGATTGCAGTAGTTAATCATCGTGGCTCAATGTGTGTCACTTCAGCATTTTTTCCTACTGTTGTCTTCAGTCCCTCTGTTTGTTTTTTATCTCTGTATTTCTCAATCTGTTCCTGGGGGCTTTGAATGGAGGATAATTGTGGTCTGAGTAGAATTTTGTAACATCTTTTGTTCCCGTGTCATTTGTGCTGAATATAGGCTTCAGGGCTCACATGAGGTAGCCAAGTATGTAAGTGTCTGTGATAGCAACCTATTAATTAACTAGCCCCCTTTCTTCTCTTCTTTTATTTTACAAGCTTTTGAAATCTACTGTGATACAAAAACACTTAAAGTATTGGATATTAGTCTTGATCGGTCCAAGAACAGCCATTACTAATTGTTTATGGCAGGCCTTCAAAAAAGGGGGAAAAGTTTTCGTTCTAGAACAGCCATTACTAATTGTTTATGGCAGCCATTCAAAAATGGAGCAAATGTTTCCGTTCTGTGCATTTAGCTGTTCTTATAAATCTTAATTGCTCACCTTTTAGGAAAAGCCAATTTTTTTTCAAGTCAAAGTTGGATTAAGGACCTCTTGTTCTTGATGATTACTGCAGACAAAATATCTCCCAAAACCTAAATTAGAAATGAAATTTCTGTTGCCTTATGAGAATGAACTTGAGTTCTAGCATAGAAGAAGGAATCTGTCATTTTAGAGAACTTGCCGAAAAGACCTAGTCATTTGGTGTTTTATTAAAAAAAAAAAGGCAGTAATGAAAATAATATAGCTGTATGCTGTTGTCTGAAGAACTGCTGTTCAGGAAGTTTTTAAGAAAAGCAAAGAATGTTAGCTAGGAAACTGACAATTAAAAGCATGGAAAATTTACTTTTGTAAAGGTAAAAGAATCCTCTAATAGTTTAATGAACAGAGGAGAATAATAAATATATGTCAGGTTGCTGTATTCCTATACTTCTAGTCAAAGTAAGAGACAAAAGTATTTTCTTAAATTGGAAGGCAGTTGGGTACCGTCTCAGGCATAAAGCTCTCTTTTTGCATTACAACTACTCTGTCCCTGTCCTGTCACCCTTTTGCTTGCAAGTGGGCACGTTTTATGCAGTTGCCTATTTTGGGTTTAATTTTCTATTTTTGTGATACATGTGGTGGTGTCCTTTGACTAAAAGCTGTATCTGGCTGTAAATCATCTGCTGTGCTTTCATATTAAAAGGTCTTTGTGGGTTTGTCTGCCCTTTCCCTGCACTCATAAACTATGTGACTGTAGTTCATTTGTCACAGAAATGAACCCACTTCTAAATTACAAAGGCAAAATGTTTCACATTTTCATAAGTTTCTCCTGTCTTTCCTGTTTGTGTGGTTTAATGTGTCACCCTCAGCATTAATATTGCAATACCTCTGTCACAGAAAAGGTAAATTTCCTTATGAATACCTGTTTGAGACCTTTATTATTATGCTAGCTTCATTGTTATATGGGGCAGTTTCCTGGTAGTTTATGTCCAGCTCATAAGGAGGAGACATTTTATATCAGAGTCGTCTGCTGAACTAAGGAAAAAAACCCCAAAACTCTAGATCTTTGGGCAGAATTTAGGACCCTTTAGTCATCAGATTGCTTTTCAGTTTGTTCCTTCCCTTTTTTTCCTAAGTTTTTAATACTGATGGCCTTGGGTTTCATGTGGAACACATGGATGGATTTTTTTTGCTTGGTTTTTTGAGGCTGTCATCACTAAGTTTTATTATTGATAAAGTATCTTTTCCTAGGGCATCCACCAATCTCTACACCAAAGAAAAAGTGTCCATTAAATGAGACATAGTTACCATTCGTTGCAGCTAGTTCTTGGTGTGTAGTCAAATCTTATTTCTGCAAAGCAGCATGCTTTATCAATTGTACTTTTGGTAAGCACTGTTTCCTAGATTTGTTTTTCTTGTCAAGAGGAACAAACAAACAAACAAACTGGTCTTCCAGAGCATGTTTCTGGTTGAGAACCTGCCAGCCTTCTTCGGCCCACTGTTAGATATTTCTGAATTTGTGCTGCTGCTCTTGATACCTGAAGTTCATTGCTCTTGTGCTGCTGGAAGTTTCTCTTTGCAGTCTGATTCTAGCCATCCTTTCTTTTTTTTTTTCTTTTTTTTTTTTTTTTTTTTTTTTTTTTTTGATTTTTTCTTTTTTTTTTTTTTTTGTTTTGTTATTGTAGACACTCATTTAATACAGGTATTCTCAGAGCATGTAATTGTTTCTCTGGAGACATTTAGTATGTTTATGTTTGTGTATGATTTTACATTCTGAGTTGAGAGAGAAGAAACTAAACATTCTTTTTTAGTGCTGTTATTACATAATTTTAGCAGCTTTTTAGAAACTGGTGGAATGTTGTGGAGTATCATGAACATGTAGTGATGGTCCTGTTGAGGGTTCAGCAACCTGAACGAGGGTTCAAAACTTTCAGGCTTTCAGAACATGTAGACAGGTGGATCTAGAGGAATAATCTGAGTTAGAAAACTGGTGCCAGTAACTGTCTTTGGCAAGCTGAGAAAGAATTTCTTCATTCACTTTATCTTTCTTGTCCTAAACTTGGCTGTTACAAATACCAAGTATTTGAATAGTTAATGTGCTGTGACAACCTGCATTTTCCAGCATGGTTTCTGGTGCTCAAATTAATCGAAGTACTACTCGCCATGCCTTGTTGCTATGCAAGGCATTGAAAGTTACTTGAAAACATAGCAAATTAACTCTTAAAATGTAGTCTAGGTGACCAAATACAAGACGTTAGGCACAATGAAAGGACAAATGGTAGACTGAGCACAAAACAGTGGGAGATTTTATGCAAAATAATCACATAGAGCAATTTTCTGTAAATATAAGACTGCATGTGGGTACGCTGTCAACTGCTTTCACATACTGATTCCAACTCTTAATGTTTAAGATCAGTCATGAAAGGTTTCCTCATGTGGGGTAAATGCTTTCAGTAACAACGAATGACAGTACACAGGTTCATTGGAGACTTTAATCCTTTGTTTAAGAGGGGGGAAGAAAGTAATAATAAAAATGAAATTTAGTGCTCATTCTACCACCTGTAACTTCCAGAATTCATTAAGGGGTGACTGCATTTGGTATGACTCTCAGCCAGGCAGCTTCAGTCCTCATTCGGAATTCGTGTCTGTTACTCTCTTGGCAGAATATCCTCTATCCATTAGAGCATTGCAGATGCAGATAGAAAATGTAAAGGCATTCTGCCTGAACACTTAGATGATGAGACAATAAGAAGCTTTATCTAGATGCCTAAAATATTACTGTTAGATTTATTGGAACAATTACACATTGAATATTCTACAAAGGAGATTTGGTTATTTTGAATTTGATAGTGAAAAAAACCCTGTATTGCTAGGTATTTTTATCCTGTTTGTTAAAGTCACTGGACATTACTGCCCATTAATAATGGTGGGTATGGGTACACTGGAGAAATTAAACTTACTACGTGTTGACTTATTTTCTCTTGAAGTAACATATCCACCAATCCGGACCCAATCTATCATATTTAAAATCGAATGCAAAATTTTGAGATTTAGGTTTTTGGGGGAAAAATGAAGAGATTGGTTTAAAGTTGTGCATAATAGTTGAGTTTGATTTATTAGAAGCCCTCTAGATCTGTATAATTATCTGGTGGGAAGCTGATTTGGTGTGACTTACCGTCCAGAGATCCTGAAGTGACAGCCTGAACTGCTCCTTTATCTTTGGAGAGAAGAGACTTTACCCATTAGTAACGGATTGCTGGATATATTATTTTAGAGAAAAAAAAAGGAAAAAAAACAGGTAAGATTTTTCTCCTCTTCTACTATTTCCTGTCTACTACAAAGGCATTCTGTGTCATCTTTGATATATCAGCTGTTGATTATTTGATGACATGATCAGGTACTCTCAAACTACACAATATCTGAATGTAATGATTTCTGCAAATATTTCATACTGTAACTGCAGGCTATAAATAGGCTTTTTGGAAAAAGATAATTTCTAGTTGCAAGTTGCATATATTGACGATTTAAGGATGCTGGTTTGAGGCTTTTGAAAGTAAAACTTGGGTAGAGCAAGAAAAGTGGTAGCTTCTGTATAGAATATCTGTGACTGTTTTCTTTGTACATGACTACACAAATGTCAAGTTATGACAAGTTATGACAAACTGCAGTTTGTCATAAAACAATGTTTCCCATCTGACAAGAAATACAATTAAGTCTTATGAAGTTGTGTTTTAAAAAGTTTTAGAAATGTGCCTGACACAAAGTTTATGTGTTATTTTCAGAAGGTATTGCATTTTGTTATTATACTTTAATGAACTCAGATTATGGTAATGCATGCATTGTACTAAGACTTTAGATTGTTTTTGACCTCTAGCAGGCATTGGCAAGACTGAAATTTTAATTTCTCGGTGTGATTGAACTTCAGGGTATGGGGTTTGGGGTTTTTTTTGCACTCATTTCTTTTTCTGTCAGTGTTCGTAGGATCAGAAAGAGCTGGAAGCTGAAGTCAGGAGCACCTTAATGAAAGTTAAACCTAAGTTTAGATTTAATTGCTTATTTTCATGAAACTGCTTCTATGGGCGAGACAGCTATTTCAGGGACTTAAACAGGAGAATAAAGAATTGTTTGAACTAATGCACGCATGTATTTTACCTGTATCTGTTGATGGCAAATTTGGTCATCTTTAATACAACTAAGTGGGTCAGGTTCAAGGTCAGGTTGGATGGGGCTTTGAGCAACCTAATGCCCCTACCCATGGTAGGGGGGTTGGAGCTGGATGATTTTTAAAGGTCCCTTCCAACCGAAACCGTTCCATGATTCTGTAAGTGTAAATTTTAATCTTCAGTATTAATTTGAAGTAATAAATATTGCATTGAGGTTACCATAGTGTAAATGAGATCAGGATCTTGAGTGTTTTGAATTTTATAGATGTGCTGGGATTTCTTACATTGTAAGTCACTACAATATAAGTATACAATATTGCTATTGTTTGGACATGGGAAATTATTGGGCAAGGCAAAAAGGCGTAGGTAGGTTTTTAGTAAAAACCTTCACAATTCTTAAGATACTTATTAGTGGGGGAGACAGGCGGAACAAATACAGTGTGAAGGATCCTATAGCTTTTTGTCAGGGAATTATATGTTTGTAGCTAGCTCAGTACTTAGAGGAAGTTAGTGAAAGTTTTCTAAGTTGTTTTTTCCCCTAAAAAAACAAACACAAAAGGCAAATAAAAATGTGAAAAATGTCTTTCTATTTTTTGTCTTTGACTGTCTTGAAATATATAGACATATTTTTAGTCCTATAGCAAGTATTAAGTCCTTGGGGATAACACAGGTTTTTCTCTTCATGGACACTATATTGTTTTATGATGATCATGGAAAACCATTTGCTAGGTCTGAGGCAGAAATAGACTTTTCAATTCTGCAGCCACAGTTGGAAACAACACAGTTGGGTTTTAGGGACAAAACGTGCTGAGTGGTATTCTACTGCTGTTTTCTTGTCTTTCAATCGAATGTGCAGGCTTGGGGCAGATTTCTGTAAGAGCTTGCAAATTCATCCTTTGTCTTCAGAGAAAACTTACCTCTATGTACATAGTTGCAGCATTACTTATTCCCAAACTCTGGTTGGAGCTGCCTCATCAGTTTGCTGTGAAGGGAAGTACTAGAGAAGAGAGGTACAGATGAAAGAGCTGAGAAAGAGGGGGAGGAGCAGAACAGATGTGGAAGAAGAACTTTCCACTGGTTTAGAGTGGTTTCTTACTACTGGCTGATCAACTCATTTGTCCTACTACTGTTCTTTGGATCAGAAGAAAAATTGATGGTGTGGATACACAATTTGTTGCAGCTGGTGACAGAATGCATATCTTAAAATCACTTTTCTATTACCCTTGTAAGCTCAGAGCACAAGAGAAAAGGTTTGTGCCTCCCTCCCCAACAGTATGATTTAATCACTCATTTTGCAAATGAAATAATTGTAAATATAAACCAAATACTTATAAAAATACCAATAATTATTGTAGCTAGTACTAGCTTAGTTGCATGTATCTTGTGTTTCTTCTTAATTATTGTTGGACTTTTTTTATTCTGTTGTTTGAGAAAGGCCATTTTCTTTAAATAAGAAGTTTCTTAGATACTTCTGAATGAATAGTAGCATCCCAAAACAAATGTATAAATAATTATTAATACAACTTTCAAGTTACTGAAGTTACAGTTTCAGACAGAACTGTAAGATAACTATTTATTGACTTGGTATAGCATTTACAAAAAGCCTTAAGCTGTTTCAAATTTAATGTGGGTAAGGATGTATTTTTTACTTCTGCCTTGTCACAAGAAAGGAGGAAGTTAGAGAACGTTACTGTTATCAAATGCAGAAGGTTGGAGAGCTGTTGGGAAATACAGAATAACAGTGCAGTATTTTGAAAGACAAGGAGGTGTTGGTCTGTAAAGGTCTTCAGAAGCATTTAATTTTTGTGGGAAGAGTTTCAGTGTGTTTTTTGAGATTGGTTTTATGCTATACAATATTATAGAATATAGTATAGCGTAGAAGAACGTGATTATACCATGGAATGATTATTGAGAGTTATAAAGTTCAGGTAGAAATTTCTTTCAGATTATGTTTCTGGTTTTCTTTTTAAGAATTGCACGGTCATTAAGAATTTGTCTTCCTTCTAGTGTGTTGGAGGCTGAGCCAGAAAAGTCAAACTGAAAGATCTATCAGACTCCTGTGAATGAGTGCCATATAGCATGCTGATACAGTTCTCTCTTTTGTTTTGTTTTTTGTTGTTTTTTTTTTTTTTTTTCTTCTCACTAGTGTGTAGTTGGTGGGTGCAATGCCAGCTTTGCATCTCAGGGAGGACTAGCCCGTCATGTGCCCACGCACTTCAGCCAGCAGAACTCTTCAAAAGTTGCCAGCCAGCCAAAGGCCAAAGAGGAATCTCCATCTAAAGCTGGAATGAATAAAAGGAGAAAGTTAAAGAACAAGAGACGACGATCATTACGTAAGTATTTCCAGAAGTAGAAGTTCTTGAAAGTTTTGGTTTAGATAGGAAGTTTCTCTTCAATGTGGATGTTTCTCTGCAGATGTAGGTCTGGTAGGGTTGGTGGTCTTTTGCATTAGAGCATTGGCATCCTTTGTCATGGGAGTAAAACAATTCCAGATTCTGTCTGTGTTCCCTTTTTAGGGTAAAGGATCTATGCGTTCAGTAGAAAAGATGTTTTCTGTGAGCAACAATTTGAGTTTGATTTAAAGATGCTTTTCATTTTAGAGTTGCCTTTTGTTTACTGACTATGTTACTATTGGAAAATGTTTTGTCTAGTGATGATGAGATCTTAAGTTCAGTACTGCAGAGAGAGATTGCAGATTCGTATAAGTTAGAGATAAATGCATATTATGAGCTCTCTTTCGAGCAAAACATTTCATTAGCTTAATGACAGTTTTATGAGCATAACCAAGATCTAATTTTGGACAGATTTGACTTGCTACATTTTTTTAATCTTTCTCCACACAGTTGATGATCATTAAATTTATATGAACCAATGTGCTGAGAAGTGTGATTTATCATTTAAAGTGAGAATTGTTTCCTCTAGCAAGTAATAATCACTTACCCAGTACCTTTTCTACTCCATTTTGATCCAGTTGTTTGATTTCTGAGTTGTCCTAGCATCGGACTAATAACCATGTCAAATTCATTTAGAGATTCTAATGTACAGAAATGGTTAGGAAAGACTAGGCAATTGTTAAAAAAATAAACTTTGTTTTATAATTGCTTTGGATGCAAATCTCTGGTACTGAACCGATTATTTACTAATTTTAAACTGTTGCTGTGACAGTTCCATTTTAGAGTAGACATGTAAAAACTCATTTAGTTTTTTTCCTGGTAGTATGTCAACAGCTGAAGAAAAAACTTCCATTAATTTTTACCTGTGGTGTAATGTCAACCTTACAGTATTGGAGAGAAGTGCAAGATACCTTTTTCTGTGAACCACTGGACCTGTTGTATCTCATACTGTCCACAGAAATGGAGCTCTGTTCATAAGCAGGCAAATTATTTCAGTCCTGTCTCCTGGCTGGCGGTAGGATTTTAGTGATGGTGTGCTGGAAAACGTGTTACTTTGTGGGGTCAGCAATTTTAGTCTTATTTTTCCAGTACTCTTCTGTGGCTGAACACTTCACTGTAATGATCTTTCTGTTCCTGTGAAGAAATACAGCTGCCAATTATTCAAATGGTACTGCAACAATGAATGCACATACTAGTGGTCTTAAGTGATTACTTTCTATCACATGATTGTGATTATTCTTATCTTAATACCTCACCTGTGTTTTAAGCAACTGAAATTTATGAAGCAGGGGTCATGTTTCTGCCTTGAATGCAAAGAAGGCTGTCCTGGAAAGTTACAGTATTGCCTAGAATTTTGGAAAGTGTATTTCCTCTGTCTTCCACACTGTGTAACAACTATGCAGTTCAGTACTAGAAGAGCCACTGTTAACTTCAGTTATGGTTGGTGGGTTTTTTTCCTCTCCCTTTTTTTTTTTTTTTTCCTTTGGAAATGATTGGGCATTCTTAAAATATGTGAGCAAATTATATCATTAAACACATCTTAAAAATGTAAACTTGAAGAATTCCTCTAATTTTGACACTGATTCAACATTCAAAGAAGTTAGAAAGCTATTTTTGTTCTTTACAGAATTTGACTTTCAAAGAGCTTTCCCTTTCACTCTAGCAATCTATATAAATGAGAAGGTTCAAGAAGGGAAGGCTGATCAGCGAAGGGTTATGTGGTCGCTTTGCAATATCCTTTCAGTTCATCTTAGATGTAATGAAAGAGAGACTTATTTGAGATAGCTGCAGGTTCCTAAGGGATTACCTTGATTTGTTGACTGCGTTACTCAAACAAAATACAGATGTCTAAGAATTGTCACTTCAGAATTTTCTCTTCCAGAGATTCCCAAGTTGCATCTTGGCTTGCTTCTCCATACTGATTTGGTTTGGTGGCTGATTTAATGTGTCTTAATTCAAATTTCCCCCCAGTATATGCAGAAGGAGGTTTTCAGGTTGGCATTTTATTAGTAACTGATGTACATTATTGACTTAGAAGTTTCAAATCAGAGCTTCAGAATGAATCTGTGGCAAAAAATGTAAGTAGTAGATATTATGGGTATGTTAAAGGCCAAACTGTGGTACTTCAGTGGTCTGCTGTCTTGATCAAGTGTTGCACAGGAAGAAAAATGACAGCTGCTTGAGCAATTTTTTAACTTCTTGCCTCTTGAGACAAATGCAATGCTGGCTGTAGAGTTTTGCCTTAAGGCAAAAATCATTTTCAACTGAGTTAGGAGCTGGCTACTGTAATGTATTTCTCCAGAGGGTATGTGACCCAGAAATGTATCCAAAGTTGACAGCATTTTCTGAAAATGCTAAGTAGTGGTAGCTTTTCTTTAAAATTTTGTGTGGATTATTGTTGATTAAGTGAACTTGACAAAGGGCTGATTCAATTTTGCTTGTCTGTCTTAGCTTAGTTTTAGTTAAAGAATGAAGTGTGCAAGTTTCTATATTTTGTCTTTACAAGAAGGTGGCGGGGGGGCAAGGACCCTTATCTAAGAAGCCAAAGTAACAAAATAACAGCATTAAGTATTTTCAGTCTATAGTATTGTCCTGGTTTCGGTTGGGATAGAGTTAATTTTCTTCCTAGTGGCAGGCATAGTGCTGTGTTTTGGATTTAGTAGGAGAAGAACGTTGATAACATGCTGATGTTTTTAGTTGTTGCGAAGTACTGCTTATGCTAGTCAAGGACTTTTCAGCTTCCCATGCTCTGCCAGGTACACAAGAAACTGGAGGGGGCACAAGCCAGAATAGTTGATCCAAACTGCCCAAAGAGCTATTCCATACCATATGATGTCATGCTTAGTATATAAACTGGGGGGTTGGCCGGGGAGCAACGATCATTGCTCAGGAACTGCCTGGGTATCGGTCAGTGGGTGGTGAGCAATTGCATTGTGCATCACTTGCTTTGTATATTATTATTATTATCATTATTATATTGTTGTTATTATCATTACTATTTTACTTTATTTCAATTATTAAACTGTTCTTATCTCAACCCAGGAGTGTTTCTCACTCTTACTCCTCCAATTCTCTCCCCCATCCCGTCGGGGTAGGGGGAGTGAGTGAGTGAACGGCTGCATGGTGCTTAGTTGCTGGCTGGGGCTAAACCATGACAAGTATATAAAGCTAGGAACGTAGATTTATATTTAGATATTTTAAAAGTGTCCAAAGGGAGAGGTGTTGAACATATGTACCAGGTTCTCTGCAAGCTGGGTTACAAGAAGTTCTGACAAATGGGTGTAAAGCAAGATGCTATTTGATAGTGTACAGTCTGTTTAAATCACTCACAAATAGTCATTTGATGAAAAAATCAGTTTTGTATCAAAAACCAAATTTTCTCCTGAAAAAATGTTGTCAGCATGTTCTTTATACCTACTCATGGTTTATTTAGACCCCGGCTTTTTTTGCAAGGTGTTAAGTGGCTTACTAAATATTTTTTGGCAATTGATTGCTAATACATGCTGCTACTGAAGCATCCTCATCTGTTAATTCTTAACAGTTTAAATACAGCAAATCAATAAATCTACTTCCTCTATATAGACCTGTGTTTTATATCTGAAGGTTAACACCCTTCTGAGAGACATTAATGCATAAATAAAAAGGAAGACTTTACTGTGGCTTTATATGTGACACGAACATGATCTTCTAACTTAAACTATAAAGAGAATTCTTACTGTTACTTGATTTGTTCCCCCGCCCCCCCCCCCCCCCCCCCCCCCCCCCCCCCTTCTGAACATCTTGCCATTCTTAAACTGTTTTGTGGTTTTGTTTTGGGTTTTTTTTTCCCTGTCTGTAAACAGTATGTGTTCTTTTAAGTTTGGAAATTAGTACTTCTATGATGAAAGTATGTTGTAGTATAGACGCCTTTATAGTTGGTTACATTAGTGATGCTATAGAGACTGTCTGATGTGTCATATAAATTTTGATGTTGCAGAATAATTCAGGATTACAGTCAGTAGCTTGCTTTTTCTTATGGATAGCCTTAAACACATTCACTGCTCCAGGTAGTCTGCCATTTAGAGGTATAGAGCCAAACATATTGAAAGTGTGTATCTCTAAAATAAGTCATAGTATTGCTATTCTGAATTTTGCTGAACCTAAGATTATATTTACAATATTGTCACTTGCTTCTCCAGTAGCAAAGATGACACTATAGTTATTAACAAGCATGATAATTAAGTTCACTGGAGAAATGTAAGTGAGATAAGGAAACTTGCTGTTCATGGAATTTACAGTAAGAAAGTTAGTTACATAAGACTTGGAATTTAATTTAGTAGGCTACTGATATGAAGATTCTAATTTATTTGACTTAAGTAACTGGTGTGTACTTGGAACTTGTATTAAGCAGGAAGGGAGACACCTTACTCTGAAAATAAGTTTGAGGGAATAGATTTACAATACATAGAAGATACAGCATTAACACTTAGTAAGGAGTAAAGAAAACTATTCATATGCCTTTGACAAATTGTGCCCTTTCTTCTGCATTTGTTGAATGTTATGCAGTGGTAAATCCTGAAGAAATTTGCTGTATGAAACCAAAAGCAAAAATTTGGGGTTGTCTTTTCCTTTCTACCCTCTCTTCCCTCCTCCTTCATATTTATTTATAAAATATTTATATGCTTGCATCACTGACCACCTGCAGCATGATCTGCATGTGGTTCTACATTACCACTTATAGCAAGGAAACATTTCAGCGAGATGATTGCCTAATTGGCAGTATCCAACTGAGATAGTGAGGACAGAACATAATGTACAGATGAATGCTTAACAACAGTTAGTCCCAGGAGTGAAGCAAATACTAGTTTTTACGTGGAATTTGTAGTTTGTTGTGAAATAATAGATTATCTTGGTGAAAAGGAATATAGAAGCTGTTTTAAATGAAGACGACAGAACTTTGAATCACTGTTTTTGTGGATTACAGGATGATATATAGTTGATAATGTAATATCAATTCCTATTTGTTTTAATTTCAGTGTTTTATATAGAGAATTACTGCTCTCAAACAAGGCTTAAAAGAATCTGAATACTTTAATACTGTATTTGCTCATGTAATTTTACTACTGTACTATATGGTATGTTTGTAAAAATTTGTGTGAAGTATTTCGAGTGGTATGTAAATATGTGTCTGTTAGCAGTTATTTTTTAGTTAGACTACTTTTAGTGTAGAATTGATAGACCTTCTTTACACTCCAAATCAGAATTCAGTAGTTTTTCACTGTTCAAGAAACACTTAACTATAAAAGTCCTTTTCTAAAAGGAAAAAGGCTTTATTAGTGCATGCTGGTTTTAAACTACTTGTAAAATATCAGATGGATGTTAATTGCACTTTACTTATTATAAGTTGAAGTGTAGTATGCGATGTAGTTGGTGCTTCTTGGCTAGAAAATAATCTGTTTACTAATAATCAAAGAACATGGAATGACAACTTTTAGATAGAAAGAAGCATGTTTAGCAGTGTGGAGTTTTTGATGTGACTGTTCAGCATTGTTACTCCGTGGGGATCAAAAATTTCTTGACGAGCTAGTATTTCCTGTATGTTCACAGTAATTCTTACTTAATCCTTTGCTTTGTGTTCCACTGCAGTATGAGGCAGTTCTGGTTTTGGTGCTATTGTTGATCTCTTTGCAGCATCCCAGCATTCACTGGAAATAGCTGGGTTTTTTGGTGATTATAAATTAGATCAGAGCAGGTTGTTTTTAAGAAAGTTAAGAAATAAGGTACAGGTATAATTCTGCTTTTAAGATGTTGATTGTATGCATTATCGTGTTTTGAAGTACTTTAATACTATTTTTTAGAAAGTCACAGCAGTAATGTTGGAACTATTGACTGTGCTGTAAGGGTGACTTGGCCAGTTAGGTCATGACGTTTATGGGAACCTAACTGGGCTGTTTTTGTGTTAAATTAGAACTCACATTTATTAATGAGTTCTGGGTTTAGTTTCTTTGTACTGGGACTTCTTTTTTTTTTTTTTTAAGAGATGATAGCAACGGATGTTCCCAGAGGTACTCGGCAAAATTAATGAATTCTCAATTTTGAAGATTAAGAAAGAATAGAATTCACTTGAAATTTAAGAAAATGAGTGAGTGTAATTCAGTTTGTCAAAATAGCTGTTTGATCTACAAGGAATATGTTTTGACCAAACTTAAATGGATTGTGCCCCTCCTGGAGTCATTCCTTCCTCTCAGCTAAATTACTGTTTACAGCTCTTTGACAAGGTAGTGCTACTGCCATAATGATAAATGATTTACTAATGACACTTCAGACTTATTTACATGGTTGAATGTGTGTGAATGCTTTCAATGTGCTGAACACTAAGGATCTCTTTTCCTTTTTTTTTTTTCTAGCAAGACCTCATGACTTCTTTGATGCACAAACACTGGATGCTATAAGACATCGAGCCATCTGCTTTAACCTCTCGGCACATATAGAAAGTTTAGGAAAGGGCCACAGTGTTGTATTTCATAGTACTGTAAGTATATATGTTATGCATTCTGTTTGTTTACCTATGTGTCTGAAAAATCCAATACTTCATATTTCTGTTTTTCTCTTACTGCTGTAGGCATTTAATCAGAAATAAGTAATAGTATTTTACATTATTGATTTGTTCATTTCTATTAGTAAATTAACTTTTTAAAAGTAGTGTTAGTAGCTGTTCTAGATCACAAATTGAATAGCTTGTAGCATTTCCTGTCTGATACACTTGGGTAAATATCTAACAGCAGCTATGCATTGCAGCAAAATTTGGTTGTATCTTCTAAACAAGAATGCAATTCAGATGGCATTTCCATAGTCGTGAGTGATTGCTAATTTGTCACAAGGAATATTTTGAGGGTAGTTGTATAATTGAGTATTTAAAGATGCTGATCTGAAATTTGTGTTTATTCCTTTTTTTTCAGTTTAAAAAACATAATCCTGAATAAATGTATTGTTGTCCCCCTCTTTTTCTTTTAATAAACTTACCACCAAAATGTCAGTGTATTGCTAGGAGGAGGCAAGTACCAGGTGGGGAACTGGCCTTAAGTCCTGTTTCCATATCCTGTTGTGTTAATTACACTTGTTTATGGATAGGATAGACATCAGTATTAAATTAGAAAAGTTCAAAAGAGGGGAAAAAAGTACTGAATTGGGGTGCAGGGATCAGAAGTTCAAAAAGCTATATAACTGCAGGTTTTCTTAACCAAATTGGGAGATATGGGCACATAAAAGCTGAAGAAAAGAATTAAGAGATGGGACAAAATGAGGGGGAGTGCTTTGTAAATTGGCAGGCTAGTGCAAGATGAACTGCAGTCCAAGGAAAGAATGCTGACTGCTCTGTCTTCAGCTATGGCTTAACCTTAACGTGATTCAAACTATTGAACTGTCAGTCCCTTTGCATAAATAAAAGATTGTTTTGTAGGCATGAAACTTACTTTGTCCTATTCTACAAACTGATGGTTGTTATAAATATCTGTGGCCTGTATTGGAAATTTTTCCCAAATGGTTACTCCTGAACTTTATGTGCCATGAGCACCAGCCTCAAGTGGAGGTTTGCAGGTGACTTAGCTGTTACTGTATTTAAATCTCATTCCATTTTTCCTGGCCAGCATGGATTTTACAATGCTGTGAGAAAAACAGATTCTCTTCCAATTCACAGCTTGCTTTAATTTGAAACGTTATCCAGACGGACTACTTGGTTGTGGAAGTTCACCTTTGGCTATTGGAATAATTCATAAGGAGATGGAATTAGAGGGAGGAGTGTGCTCTAAAACTGCTTCAAATTAACTTGGAGGAAGTGGTGAAAATTCTTTTAGCTTATCCGTGCATGCGTCAGTCGAGATGATAGGCTTTGATTAGATCTGAAATTGCTTATACCTCAGTTGTGGGAGAGGTTGTACCAGTGGCAGAACTGTTCTAAGATTCTAGCCCTATGCTACGCTTTCCTACCCTATTCTAGTGTGCTGCTACAGTTGTGTGGGCTTGTGCTGGACTTCAGCTGTATTGATGAGACTTAGCCTAAAATATGCTTTAAAAAGGAAAGGTAGAATGGAAGCAGTCTTGTGGATGTACACCGTTATACTGAGCTAACGGTCACCTCGGATGCAAACACATTTTGCATAACTTATAAGCATTAGGACATTGAATTTGAATGGTGACTGGCTCAATAGCATAACATAGTTTGTGTGGTCCGCCTTCAGATGAAGAAAAAATGTGTACTTATCAGGGGCTTTAATTGGAAAGGTGAAAAATATGAAGATAAAATTGTCTTGATCTCTGGCATAAATTATGTAGGTTTATTTTTTTTATGCAGCATAAGAATAATGTCAGCACAATGCAGTATTTTATAGGATGGATATCTTAGTGAAAAATTACTAATGTGAAGAATTTCTAAGCAGTCATTGTAGATACCTTTCATCTCCTATGAAAAAGCACTCCTTTTTTTAGATTTTTTTTTTTTTTTTAAACCCATCTTTTTATAGATGTGGAAAGCTGCAGAATGCAGTCATCAATAAAGCCTTTTTAAAGACTGTTTTTGCCATCTGGAGTTCACCTTTGACTTCATTATGAATTTTTTTTTCTGCTTAGTTTTTTTTATTGGAATCAAATTCTTGGTACGTTGATTCTCTCAATTGTCAGATGGAAAAAGTCAAGCATTTCCATTTAACCTAAAGAGCAGATATTACACTGAATAAAAAATGCAGTGCTTAGGTTACTGTGTCCTCCGTGCCCCCCGTCCCCCCTCCAACTTTTTGAAATGGCTAGAATTATTCTCTAAAATATTTGAATACTAAACTGTTTTTCACTGGTTTTAGCTTTTTTAGATATTTCAGTTCAGCAATCACATGTATTGATACTAACTGCATGTGTTTTGGAATCTTAGAACTTTGAAACATAGTAAGTGAATAAAGAAAGATGCATACCAATTTATAGGGTGAAGTTTTTTTCTTTTTCCAGAAGAGGTCAGCAGAACTCCATTTCTGATTTGAGACAACTTTGATGCATGCTTCCTTCACAGAGATAAATTTAATTTAAATTTCTCTTTTGTGCATGAAATTTAGAGAATATAGTAAGAGTTTTTTCAAATAAAGCTGTACTGAGCATACATCTACTGGCTGAATTATATTTTCAATTAAAAACTTAAACGGACTTAAGTTCTTTACAAAACAATTTTAAGTCTGCAGAGCATCATTGTTGCAGACGTGCTAGATTTCTTCCATCTCAGTTGTAACTTTTGCAGACTTGACCGCAAAGCTCTGATTACTAGTGTCAAAATAACAAATAATTTTTTTCAATTGCTTTTTTGCAAAACTTTTGCAGTTTTGCATTTGTCTGTATCGTAGCTGTGTTTGACTCTAGCCTGCCTAAGTTATGGTAAAATTTTCATTGCACTAATTGTGATAAAAGTGGTTACTTTTTTATGCATTTTATAAAAAATTCTTTAAATTTGACAATTTCAAAATGCATGTGGGAAAACTAATGGCAGCTATAGATGCCAGACTTCTATTGTCTCCTAACAGAAAGCTAACATACTACTTTAATATTAAACAAAAGTAGGCTTGTTCCTTATGTGGAGATAGGATCTTTCATCCCAGTCAAAAACAAGTGAATTGCTCAGATTTTGAGTATTGATTATTTAGTAGGGACAAGATAAGCCAATGATATGCGGAAAAAAATCTGCAAAATTCACATTGGATACAAGTATATCTCTCTGCCCAAAAGCATCCTACCTATAACTTTCATAGCTTTCATGTATTGTATATGATTAGCTCTTTTGTTGTTATTTATTATTTTTTTTATTTTCTACTGCTAAGAGTTACTTTCTTCTCCTGTTGAACTTCTCTGTATGTATGAAAGCTGGTTCAAGCCCTTAGTTTAGCACTGATTGCTTGAAGAATAAGGGAGTGGTACTTGCAGTGTTATAATTCAGGCAGTACTTGGGTTGCCCTAAATTTTTTACTCTGAATCTCTTTACACATCAGTGTTTCATTTTTTTCAGTTCTTACAAATACCTCTTTTCGGTGTGATGATGGTAAGACAGCAGAGTCTTAAATTTTGCACTGCATATTCCTGAAAACGAGGTATTGTTAATATCAGAGTTTGTACTTTTTTTTTTTTTTTCCTGTTGGAGAATGCAGGTGATGATATTGGGTGGTTTGCACAGAGATCTATGAGGTTCTGGAATCACCATGTATTATACTGTAAATCCCCATAGAAGCAGTGCTATTGATTTGATAGAGGGACAGCAACCCCAGCTTTAACTAGTACTTAGATGTAATATGTATCTGTGACTTGTATATTCTGTATGGTTTCCTAGTTCATATTCTTGAAGTTTTAGAGAGGATGAAGAGCAGCTTGTGGAGAATAACTTCTTCCTTCTAACTCAGGTGTAGCTAGTTTACTGTGTCCAAATGCTAATGTTTTAAAAGGTCACCTGTAAACTTTTCAGTATGCGATATCCATGATGCTTGCATTACATGAGAGAACATACATGTCTCCTTGAAACTTGAAGGTTAATTTGATAATGAATTGGACTGTACAAGAAAATGTATAGTTTTGAATGGGAAAGCTGATGAGAACTGAGTTTTATTTGCCCTGTAAAGTGAGCTTTGACTTATCTTTATTTGGTTTCAGGCTCAGGTGCTCCAGTCTACAGCAAAGAAACTGAGCTTGCAGAAAAAGCAGCTGGGTTCTGGGCAAAGGCTAAAACTTAAAGTTAGAAGGGATTGGTGGAGTGCTTTCTAGACCTTTATTTAAAAAGAAGTCATGGTTTTCATCCCTGCTCCAAATTTAGCAAAAGGATATATCCTGGAGGGTATGGCTTGAGACTTAGGAGGAAAAGTCAGCATTGTTTCACATGCCTGAATTTAAGAACCTCATTGTATTCTTTGATACAAGAGTCTATTAAACTTTGTCTAATCAGCAAAGATTACTAGAAAAAGGATTTTTACTGTTATTTACCTACAGTATCACACTATGACATCCTATTGCAGTTCTTGCAAGGAGCATTCCTTCAGTTTATCTTGAATTGCCTGATACGAAAAGCAGATTTTCTCACTCTGCCTTCCAGTCCCATTTCCAGATGAATTGTGAAGTTATATTAAATGAGAGATCTTAAAACTGGGGCTAACTAATGGGAACCTTCTCCTTTCGGAAGAACTGTGCATTACTGTACTTCCTTTATTGCTTCTCTAACCCTAGGTCATTGGATGGCCTTTTCCATATCTCATGACAACTTGGTTTAAAACCTTTTAGTGTGAGTCTTCAATATTTTTTAGAAACTCAGTATCTCAAACACTGTGATGGGTTGACCCTGGCTGGATGCCAGGTGCGCACCAAAGCTGCTCTATCACTTCTCTCCTCAGCTGGACAGGGGAGAGAAAATACAACGAAAGGCTTGGGTGTCGAGATAAGGGTAGGGAGAGATAATTCACCAATTACCGTCATGGGCAAAACAGACTAGTCTTGGGGAAATTAATTTAATTTATTGCCAATCAAATCAGAGTAGGATAATGAGAAATAAAACCAAATCTTAAAACACCTTCCCTCCACCCCTCCCTTCTTCCCAGGCTCAACTTCACTCCCGATTTCTCTACCTCCTCCCACCGAGTGGCATAGGGGAACGGGGGTTGCAGCCAGTTCATCACACATCTCTGCCATTTCTTCCTTCTCACACTCTTCCCCTGTTCCAGCATGGGGTACCTCCCATGGGAGACAGTCCTCCATGAACTTCTTCAATGGGGGCCCTTCTCACAGGCTGCAGTTCTTCATGAATTGCTCCAGTGTGGGTCCCTCCCATGGGTGCAGTCCTTCAGGAGCAGACTGCTCCAGTGTGGGTCCCCCACGGGGTCACAATTCCTGCCAGCAAACCTGCTCCAGCGTGGTTTCCTCTCTGTGGGTCCACAGGTCCTGCCAGGAGCCTGCTCTTCCTTCAGGTGTCCACCTGCTCCACCATGGGGTCTTCCACAGGCTGCAGGTGGATATCTGCTCCACCATTAACCTCCATGGACTGCAGGGGACAGCCTGCCTCACCATGGACTTCACCACGGGCTGCAGGGGACCCTCTGCGCCGGCACCTGGAGCACCTCCTCCCCTCCTTCTTCACTGACCTTGGTGTCTGCAGAGTCGTTCCTCTCACATATTCTCACTCCTCTCTCTGGCTGCATTTGCACAGTTATCACCCTCCCCCCCGCTGCCCCCAGAGGTGCTACCGTCATCACTGATTGGCTCAGCCTTGGCCAGCAGCAGGTCCGTCGTGGAGCCGGCTGGCATTGGCTCTATCGGACATGGGGGAAGCTTCTAGCAGCTTCTCACAGAAGCCACCCCCGTAGCACCCCCCGCTACCAAAACCTTGCCATGAGAACACAATATTCCAGTTCTCATCTGCAAGCATATTGATACCTTCAGATATCTGAAACATATCTGTATTAATAATCTGGCTGTTAAATCCATGGATACTTCTCTCTGCATCATTTCTGTTTAGAAGGTCTCCGCATAGTTGTAAAAAGAAAAACGCTAAACGAATTTGTGAATTCCTTGAAATGTCATGACTAAATTTAATTTACCATGGCATTCAGTTGTGGGAAATTGCTTTGGTTGATACAGATTATGGACTTCAGGATTTAATTTCCATATGCTACATTTTAGTTTAGCCTTTTTCTTAAAGATCACTTGCTACCCTTCTGTATTTCTGTGCTTTAAAGGTTCTCTAGTAAACTTTTGGAGCTTATAGTATCTTCAGTGGCTATGTGTAGAATCTTCCAAAGATTTAATAAGCATTTTATCCTCAGAGGTGCAGAAGGTGGGAGAATTGGTGTTTGATGGAAATAGGAAAATCTGTATGAAGTATTGTGATGTGTAATAAAGGAGAAACTGAGGGTAAATCAGTAGAAGAGGAAGCAAATGGCTTTTCCCTATTTTTCTGGATACTGTAAATTTTTGGGATACCTTTTGAATGCTGGTGTTAAAGAATATATTTGTACCTGAAGGAACAGATTTCTTTTTTATGCTTTCTGTGTGTATTCCTAACTTTATCTTGGCTAAAGGTGGGAGTCTAGCTTCAGGCTCCTGTACCTAAAAACTATTCTCTGTGAGAGTATCTTACATGCTGGTCTACTCTGAGCTAGTATGAGAAACTATGAGAAAGGAGTTCTCACTTCTTGTCTGGGACGTTACCAGTGGAGTACATAGGTTCTGCTTCAACTCTATCAGTTGTGGACAGGTCTTTCACATGTCATTTCACTTGTCATTCATGTAACAATAGCAGCAAGTGTACTCTCTACAGTGTTAAGGGTCCCCGTTATGTATGCATTAAACAATCTCTGTCAGCCTGTGAGCTCTTCCAAGTAGCCTTTGCCGTCGCCTTGTTCAGTGCTTGGTTTAGGTATTGAAAAAGAATGAGTAAAGGTTGCCTAGGAAGTTATATGTGTGATGTGCCTAGATGTCGAAGCATTTGTGAGAGAAGATTGTATTCTTATGCCATGCTATAATTAAACTATAAGCTGCATCAGTTTCTTGCATCTTCTATAGAAGTCTTGTGGAACAGCATGGGCATATTTGTAGAGGAATGTATATTTCTCAAAGCTTTTGGAGTAGCTGTTTAAAAAATTGAACTATTTTAAAAGAAAGAAGACTGCTTACAGGATGCATCTTATTTTTTTTTTTTTTTTCAGGAACCACTCAGTAGACAAATGTTAAAGGAAAATATTAAACCTTGCCAAGAATGGCTTGAGTAGCGATATGTACATTCTACCTATCTATAGAATTAACACAACTTTCAAAGAGTAAAACAGATTGCCTTTTATGAATGTACAATTGAACATGAAGAACAACAGTTTTTGAGCAAAAAATCTGCAGATTTGGCTTTAATTATGATTTATGTAATTATTATTAGGTAATAGCTAAAAGAAAAGAAGATTCTGGAAAAATAAAACTGTTGCTTCATTGGACACCAGAGGACATGTGAGTATATTGCTAGTGATATGATATAGGATGTAAATGGGGAAGGATTTACAGTGGGCTAAATAACCTGCCTGTCACTAAATTATGTTATGCCTTTGAATATTTAAATTAAAGTTCATGTTTTAAAAAATGCTTTTTAAAAAAGTAATTTAGAAGCTTAAAAAATAATAAGCAATGCTCTAATTGATTTTTACTTTAACTTTCAAGTCTTTAGACTCTGATACCAGTTTAGGTAAATTTGAAGCTGTGTTTTTGATTCATTTTGTCACTGTGACTATTAATAACAAGGTCCTCTACTTACTGAATGGGGAATTCAGGTTGGTTTTGTCAGCCACATACATAAGGGAATTTATCGCTGAGACAACTTTGTTTTACCAACTGATTCATCATGATCCTAAAATACTTTTAGGTACTGAAAAATGTACGATCATCAGTGTAACATAGAACTACAAGAATCTTTGCCTGGGTGCCACAATTTAACACTATAATAACCACAATTGTGCCTTTAAGGTATCCATCTCGTATTGCTGCTGCTTTGGATTCTCCCACTGAAGCTTGGAATAATCTTCTAGCATGTTTGGCTGCTTTTTTCTCTTGGCTTTTCAAAGTTCAGCCTTGTTCCAAATGAGTAGCCTTGTGTGTAATGCAGGATGAAGGTACTGCCCTTGGGTAGGCTTGGGACATACAAAGTAGTGAGTGTACTTCAGAAATAATTTACCTAAATAGCTGAGATCTCATCTCTCTCTTCTGACACAGAAAATAATTTATATGTAAATATGTTGATCTTAATTGTAAGGAAAAGTAGAATAAATGTTTGGTTCCACTATGATGTAGGAGAGCAGTAGGCAGAATAGTTTCAGGAGAGGCAGTAGCTGTATGCTCCATGTTTTCCCACAAGTTTTAAGGGGATTAACTACTTTTTCCTTTTAAAGGTAAGAATAATTATAACAGAATTTGTTTCTTGGATCCATACTCCTGCATACTAATTCCTGGATCCATAGTCCTGCATACAGATGAAGTTACTGAGACATTTAGTTCATACTAAGATGAATAGCTGCATAATTAGGTAGGGCATGCAGGTTTAGAGGCCCTTTCTTAAAAGAAACTTCAGTTTTACCAGGAAGATAGCTCTATATTGGTAGAACTCATTAGGTAAGGATATCTAAGTTTCAAATTAAATAGTCATAGTTCATGTAATTAACTTTTAGAGCAAGGGGGTCTTTTAGATTCAGTGCTGCTTTTAAGTGATTGAGTGGGATGGTGATGCAAAGCCTTAGCATAACAGAAATTTACCTTTGCTTTAAGTGGTTTAAATTACTCAGTTTTGTAGTGTCCCAAATTAGTCATGTGCAGTAGTGTGAACTTGGCAGTGTAAATCTATTACAGCTTTTATTTGCAGAGGACTAGGGTTGCTGATAGGTTATCTACAGCAATGTTTTGGCATTTTGGTGCAATTTTAAAGTGTCTGAGTAGCTTTTGCTGCTCATTGCAGCACTTGTAGATAGCAAGTTTCAATTCAACTTGGGAGAGAATAACTAAAATATTCTAGTAAAAAGTGTATTTTTCTGCTTCCTTTTAGGACAGCTGGTAATACTATATGTAACAGCATTCTGAAATTATTCTTATTAAAATATTGCAGATAAAGACAGTTAATTGCATTTTAAGATGAAAAGCATTTAAAAAGCATATAACACTCTGGGAATATGAAAAGTAAAAAAAAAAAAAAAATCAGTACTTTTTTCCTAATACTGAGTTGAATTAATTTTTTTGCTCATGCAGATGAATACAATACTAGAATCTCTGCATTAGAGAAGACAAGTTATTCAGTAATGTTAAGACATCCCCAGTAGAATGTAGATTTGCTTGGTCGGGTCAAAAGAATAAGGTGTTTTATATTGATATTTCTTGCATCTTGGTTGGGTTAGGTAGAGGGTATATCTCCTACACTGAATGATGTAGTTCTGAATTACTGAGTATTTGGTAGATTCAATTTCATCTTTATTATTACAGTTAAGAACAGCAAATGCAAGGCATCATGGCTCATGTCATCCATCTGTCTCAGTGAATGTACTCACACTTTAGAGAAGTTGAATGCAGTCATGATAATTACTTTTCCATTGTGCTGAGCTGTTCATCATCCTTTCAGATGGAGCTAGTAATAAAGCTTTAACTTTTTCTACTCTGAGTCATTTTGAGAAACTGTTAAACTGCTCCATGGTCTCTGTACATTAAGTGTTTTTTTCCAGGAACAGTGAATACTAGTCTTTAACTTGTTTCCTATACAAGAGGGAAATAATTTAAAAATTTTTTTTTAGAGCAGGAATTTATTCTTTGTGCCAGTACTTCTTAGCTCACTGAGTTGTTGTCTTTATGTATATTTCAAATAGCCTTTGTGTGTGAAAAGTTTTCTTATTTGCTGTTTGTACTGTTTTGAATCTTCAGCATATAGCTTCTACTAGAAATGTCTTCCAAATCTTGCTTGTCAAAAAAATAATTTTTGGCTTTATTTAAGAAAAAAAAAAAAGTCTTATTTTTTTTTTCACCTTTCATGATCTGTATTAAACCTTAGTAGATATATGGATTGCCTCCTAGGTACTTTCTCCTTTCCCCCCCCCCC